GCAGGAATTTTCTGTGTACTAGGTACCTGCCCTTTGGGAAGGGCCGTCCTTGTCTAAACCCCCTCTCAGAACCTAGAGGTCCTCCTGCCTGGCAGATGAGGGAGTTGAACCAGGGGCCCTCACATTCCACAGAGGCCTTTAGACGCTCTTTTGTGCCCCAGTTAATATACAGTTCAAGTGGAACACTTGAAGGTACTAGATCACTGCCATTCATTTCTCAACACAGAGAAATGGGATTTGAACCAGCACCTTTTTGGCAGGCACCCAAAGCACAGGAACACAGAGGGAGTCACAAGGGGTAAGTGGCCCAATTCTCATTTCATATTTGCTGAATAGAGCCATCCGTCAACAGACAAGGCTCCACCGCTGACCACCACTCAGGCCGTTCATTTGAGAAGTAAGAGCAATGTTCAAATCCCTTCTCAGGGAACATAAAGGGGATTTGAACCAGACTATGCACTGCCTATGTGTCAAGCACTAGAGAGAGACTCATGGGGTGCCTGTATCTCAATGACTATTTAGTGACAGTGACAAGGAGTCCTGTGGCACCTTAAAGACTAACAGATGTATTGGAGCATAAGCTTTCGTGGGCAAAGACCCACTTCGTCAGATGCATCTGATGTAGTGGGTTTTTGCCCACGAAAGCTTATGCTCCAACACTTCTGTTAGTCTACAAGGTGCACCAGGACTCCCTGTCGCTTTTGTGGATCCAGACTAATACGGCTACCCCTCTGATACTATTTAGTGACAGTGGCCAATCCTCAAAAGAAACATAGAGGCATCCAGCACAATGAAATACATCCAAGCCCTGGTCTTAGGCCAGTCATGTGAGTGGTAAGAGCTGAACAAGCAAGAAGGGGATGGGAACACCATTCTTCCAGACACATACCCAACCAGTTAGTTACCCAGGGCTGTTTCTTGGAGGGCTTGGCCCTAGGCATATGGAATGAAAGTGAAGCAGCTTCAGCAGAAAAGAGCAAAGGAGGCCCCAGATGAGAATAGCACTTAGCCCAGCACGTAGGCCATTCCTGAGAGATAAGAGATGGAAGTTCAAATCCCTTTTCAGCAAGCAGAAAAGGGAATTTGAACCCCATGCTAAGCACACACACACTCAACTACCAGGCTCCACAAGGCCACTTGCTAGCCTTGTGCCCACCATGACTATGAAATGAAAGTGGAACACTGGCAGCAGAACATGGTAAATGCCCAAACCACTGGATTACAAAGGGCTGCATCAAATAAACCTTGCCTAATTGCTACTATATAACAATGGCACTGCTTCAAGCTGCTACTAGGCCCAACCCATCTTAGCTTATCCTTTCCATCCCTGACTGGGATGCACACATGAGAGACTGCAGAACCCTATTTAAATCTCATCTCAGCATAAAGAAATTGACCCAGCAGCTACGCGCCTCCCCCCCCCCCCAAACTGGGTGCCAACCTCTGCTTGTGATTACTGGCCAGGAACCACTTAGGCACCAAAATAATTTTTCATGAGGTACCTTTGAATGCCCTGCCAAACAACCGAGGCACAAGGTGCATGGAGGCTAAGCCTGACCATGTAGCCGGGAAGGGGAACACAGAAAAGCCATTGCAAAGGCAGGCTATGTTAGCGCTGTATAAAGTGTGTGGTGACTGGAATGTATTATTCAATGCCCGTCACATAACACACGCATCACGGTGACCCACAGCTTAGGCAGTGAAGTGGGGGAGCAGGTAGAGGTGGAGCAGGGGTGCGGGCTGGGCCCTTTGGCAAAGGAAAAAGCCGGGAAGGGGAACACAGAAAAGCCATTGCAAAGGCAGGCTATGTTAGCGCTGTATAAAGTGTGTGGTGACTGGAATGTATTATTCAATGCCCGTCACATAACACACGCATCACGGTGACCCACAGCTTAGGCAGTGAAGTGGGGGAGCAGGTAGAGGTGGAGCAGGGGTGCGGGCTGGGCCCTTTGGCAAAGGAAAAAGCCAACACGTGTTCTCT